TTTCAACAAGTTGATGGAGCACTGGAAGTACTCACTGCTCTATCCCAGGAAATCTAGAAAACAGCTACCTGGTCTACTGACTGGAAGAGATGCCTGTTTGTACCCACTCCAAAGAAAATGATCCAACAGAATGAGCAAATTGTAGAATACTGTCATAAACATCACATGAGAGTAAAACTTTGCAGAAGATCATCCCACAATGGTTGCAAGCAATTCTTTGACAGGGAGCGTCAAGAAATCCAGGCCAGAATCAGAAGAGAACGTGGAACAAAGGACATCAATCCTGAGGTCAGATGGATCTTGACTGAAAGCAGAGAGTGTCAGAGAGATGCTTACTGGTGATTTACTGACCATGCAACCATCCATTTGTGTGGGGCAAAACAAACTAAGGCTAACGTTGAGAAAAACAGGAATTCCAGAACACTTAGTCGTGCTCATACAAAACCTGTGTATGGACGGGGTCATCATTTTAACAGAACAAGGTCGACACTGCATGGTTTAAAATCAGGATAACGGTGTTCATCAGGGCTATTTATTCAAGCTGTGTGCTGAGCAAATCACCCGAGAACCTGGGTTAGATGAGGAAGGAAGCAGTATCAGGGTTGGAGGAAGGCTTGCAACAACCTGGAATATGCAGATGGCACAAGCTCGCTTGCTGAGAGTGAGGACGTGTAGCCTTGACGATTGCAGCCTTCGGTTTGGATTAGATCTCAAAGTAAAATAAATAAATCCACACAACTGGACCAATAGACAAGACCATGATAAATAGAGAAAAGATTGAAGTTGTTGAAGTTGTCAAAGATTTTTATTTTCTTGGCTCCACAACCAATGCTCCTGGAAGCAGCAGTCAAGAGCGAAAACAAGGCATTGCATTGGGCACATCTGCTGCCCAGGCCTGGGTAAGGTGATACAAAGCCAGGATGCTACTTTGAGGACTAAGGTATGCCTAACTCAAGAATCACTGCCCTCAAATGGACTCGGACTCACAGGAAGCCTGCAGGACACGGTAAAACTGTCCCTGACAGTTTCTGAGACTGTCACTCTGGAGGGCAGTAAAAGAAAGATTTGATATTTCTACTGTGGCACAGCCGGTGGTTTTGAACCGCTTATCTTGTGGTTATTAGCCCAATGTAGAACCACGATGCCACTACTCCAAACCAGGTGCCTGACACAAGCCAGGGTCGTTTCAGTTGCCTTGTATGCATTTGAAAGCTGAACATTGAATAAGGAAGACTGAAGAACAATCTGCTCATCTGAGTAGCGGTGCTGGTGAAGAATACTGAACGCACCACGGACGGCCAGAAGAACAAACAAATCTGTCTTGGAAGAGGCGCAGCCAGAGTGCCGCACTCAGCAAGGATGGCGAGACTTCATCTCATGTGTTTTGGACATGTTATCGAGAGACCAGTCTCTTGAAAAAGACGTCATGCTTGGTAAACTAGAGGGGCAGTGGGAAGGAAGCCCTTTGGTGAGGCTGATTGACATAGTGGCTGAAACAATGGGCTCAGCTAAAAGAACAATTGCAAGGCTGGAGCGTCGAAGACCAGGCAGTGTTTCATTCTGTTGTACATCGGGATGCTATGAATCAGAACAAGTTGACACTCCCTGAGGTAGTTAGTTTATTGTGCCAACCCGGCCGATAAACATTAATTGAAGGGCGGAGAGATAAATGGCTCCGCGAGCCTCACCTTTCTTGTCTCTCGCCCTTTGATCATCGGACCAGTGTGCAGCTGCCTTGCTTGTTCTGTGCCTCCATTTGCAAGCGACACTACCTGTGGGACACCTAACCCGTGGATGGAGTCGCTGTAATTTGAGGTTCCTTCAAGACCTGCTTCACCACACCATTGGAATTTACATCTCTTGAGCTGGGGACTGTCGGACCCTGTCATCTGGCTGATTGTTGGTGACCTGCCTTGCTGTCTGCTCCCTGTGCCCAGATAGCCTCAATTGCTCTACAGAGGACTACCTGGCAGCCCTCAAAATGTGAAGGACTGCCAGTGTCTCACAACTGTCTCATGGGAGTGAGTTGCACTGAGCCATTTGTAGGGCTTTATAATTTAATTAACTGTTTATTTCTTATGATATCTATTTATCTGTACAAATATATATATAATCATTAGCATTCTGGTTTTGTTGCTCTAGAGAACACTGTCTAACACACTACCTAACAACAACAGACGTCATAGAAGGCTGCATATATTACTTTAAGCAATTATGGGAAGGCAATGGAAATTTAAAGAAGAGTCGTGAAATAATCTAACTAACTAACTACATATATAAACATATTCCCTTTGGCTGCTGGGTGGAGAAGACTGTCAGAAAGCAAAGATGACAACAGGGAACTTACTTGGGAGGCTTTTTCAGTAAAATCAAATGAATATTTGATTCTAGACATAATTTCATTGTAGTAACACTATGGACAATGCAGTACTGCCTTATGGTTTCCAAGGCTATAGTGTTTACTAGAGAAGAAAAAAAACCAACACCTTCTCTTTCTCCTGCAGAGTGGCTGGTTGGTTCAAACTGCTGACCTTGTAGACAAAGTCCAATGCGTCACCACTGTGTACCGTAGGGTTGCTACGAATTGACTCAATGCCACTAAATTTGGTTTGAGTTTTTTAAGTATAATTTTATGATAAAGCTGATGAGACCTATTGATAGACTGCACCCAGTTAATAGATGAGGGTGTGGGGGGAAAATAGAACCAAGGGTGATTCTGAAGTTTTTGACATTAACCATCACAAAGCGGGGACTCCTGGGGAGGAGCATTTGCGGTTGAGCTATTCGGGAGCATGGTTTGGGGTATGTTCAATCTGCCCATTGACTTGTGTCAAGCAAGGAATTGGAGGCACAATGGTGATTACATGGGAGACCCTTGTTTAATGTGCATACTTCTATGAATCTGAGCAGGTGGCAGGAGAGTATTCAATGAAAACAGAACTGGAACAAGGGACTTAGGATAAGAGACAACAAGCATCATTGAAAGCCATATAAATCACAGCTGTGCAGTTGGGTCATCCTGAGTTGGGGGGACGACTTGATGGCAGCCCACTGCAGCCACCCCGAGGAGGAACCAAATTAAGAGCAGTGTACGGAAAGCCAAGACAAACAGTAAATTCTGCTGATCAATTAATAAAAGGAGGACTTGGATTGCCCAATTAATAAAAGGAGGAATTAGAAAGTGCAACGGTCATTTGTGTCCTGAATAAATGTTACTTCCATGGAAGGTGAAGATAACAGACTAATTGGTATGGGTTTTCTTAATGAGGGGGAAATAGTATAAACAATAATTTGGGGACTTTTTGCTATATAGCCAAGAAATAGGACAGGAGATGGGAGAAGTTGCAGTTCAGAAAAAGTAGGCTGTTGTTTGAGATAGGTGATGTAACAATTGAGAGAGAGAAATGAATACTGTAGAAGTGAGAGAGATACAAGCAGAGTGATGTCCATGAGTCAGAGGGAGGGAAGAGTGTAGGGAACAGAGAAAGCATTGACTTTAGATCTGGCAAAGGCAGTTTATCAATAGTGACTTAATTCTTTAGGCAAGAATGGGAAGCCATTAGAGCTTCTGAGATAGTAATAACATTCTCCTTCACCCTTTTAATCTATTTATTCATTCCACTTTACCAGTGGACATATTCAAATAGTTAAATGTATGTCCCCAAACAAATACGGAAACGACAACAAACCTCACTACCAATCACAGTGATCCTATGCTGAAGCTGCCCCTGTGCGTTGCTGAGACTGTAACTGTTTATGGGCACAGTAAGCTTCCGTTTTCTCCCAAAGCTCCCCTCAAAACAAATAATTTCACATCTGTAAATGTTTAAACAAACCATTGTGTTTATCTCAGCTACTTCTTCAACCTTTACGCTAAATCAAGATCCTTGCGCCGTTACTGAAAGTTGCTGAATTGTTTTTCGCTTTGTAATAAGTTTCCTACCACCTAAAATCAATTGTATGCATACATTTGAGGTCTGGAAATTCACACTATTGCTTTTTGTGTGTTCTTAGTAAATTTTGCTGAGTAACAATTTTTTTTTAAATCACCACTACTTGTCCACCAATGACCTAACACCATCTGAGACAAAATTGAAAATCTAATTAAAATGTTTAAAATGAACATTTTATAACAGATTAAAATGCATATTGGAATTCAGAGGAAATTTAAGAAAAATTTTACATGTGCCCAAACTAGAAATTATAGCCTTTTATAAGCATCCAGGACCACAGCTGTACGAAGAGACAGTGGAGAAGCTTGTTATTGTGGAACGGACCAACAGTTTTTCATATGTAAGTTCACTTTTAACGTGAAGAAATTTTTTTAAATCCACAAAAGTCAAAATACGATCTTGACTGTATTCCCCCTGAGTTCGGGATAGAGCTCAAGAATAGATTGTCCCCATTGAACACACGGCAGCAGATCTGACCAGTTGTGGGATGACTCGGAACATGACACACGAAGCCATGGAAAGGCCATGAAACCGACAGGAGAGAAATTGAACACCAGAGGGAATTCCAGGACAGACTTTGAAACTTGCTCTAAAGCAAAAGCAAGTGGAAGAAATGATGAAGTAAGAGTTGAACCGAAAATTTCAAAGGGCAACTCAAAAAGACAAAGTAAAGACATAATGAAGTATGCAGAGATCTACAGAAAGCCAAAAAGGATGAATACATTCAGTGTATCTGAAGCTGAACAAATGGCAGTGGGGGGAGGGGGGGCTTCAAGCCTCAAGTTGCAATATTAAAGATTCTATAAGCAAAATATTGAAGGATGCCAGGCATCTCAAAGGAAGATGGAAAGAATACAAGGTTACTGTATCAAAAAGAACTGGGAGACATTCAAGCAGTGATCAAATATAACAGGGTATTTCTGAATGTTTATCACTGAATTTTTTAAAGTCATCTTCAGTCTCACATGTATCTAAAAATTATCTGTAGTATGATCACTTGTACGTACTGAAATCTCTAAGGATTTGCCCTTTTGCTTCCCTCCACAGACATGAACGCGTTCACACCAGGAAAGGTCATTTCAGTAGACCCCTCATTTCCTGCGTGAAGGATGTGGATGACTTAGCAACTCTAGAAACATTGGATGAAGTAAGGAATTTATCACTAAACTTAGAAAATAGATAGATTATTATTTGCCAAAGTAATGTGGGCAAAGACTGAGGAAGAATATACTCTTCAAATAGCAAATGTAACTCTCCTTCTTTCTTTGCCCCTTACAGTCCTGAGTGCCTCTCTTGTAGCTTCAGTTTCAATGCCTGCAATTCGAACCTCCAGGTCTCTCCCTACTCTTACTTCCTTTCTACCTTTCTAATTAAGTTTCCGACATTCAGACGACAAAGATGTGAGTGTCCACCAGCATGGAATTGTCTCTGTTTGCCTCAAAGGGAAGATTTATTGTGTTCAAGAACCAATCTCCTCCGCTAACCCTGCCGCCTTTCCCTTCTGTCTCCTTCAGCTGGATCCAGGGGCCAGGAGACTGGAAGAGCCCTCCTGTTGACACTGAGCCCTCTGTAGGATCAGGAAGCCCCTGCTCTCACAAAGCTTTTCTTTTAGGGCAGTGGTGGGCAATCTTTTTTCGGCCACAGGCTATTTGGATATTTATAACATCGTCCTAGAGCCATAGTGGTCAATCATTTAATGAACTAACCTCTAATGTGATAGAAGAAAGACGAAGCTCTCTACTCCCAAGAAGAGTTACAGTCTTAGAAACCCACAGGGGCAGTATTCTACCATGTCCCCTAGGATTGCAATGGGTCAGAATCAACGCAGTGGCAGTGTTTTGGTTAATGTGACAAAACTGCTTGTCTTTTGGTTACTGTGTTGGAACTGCTTGGCTTTGGTGAGGTCTGTGATGTTAGCTGGCATGTATGATTTCTCATGCCTTATACAGCCCTAGGGCCGGCTGTTCCTCACCACTGTTTGAAGGCATTGAATTATACTTGGAAATTTTATTTTAAAATAGTAATGATCTCAGAAATATTTAAAACATCTCGGTCACTGAATTACCATCTCATTCTTCTTTCCCCTTGTCGTGGATAGAATTATGTCCTCCCCCCGTCCCCTTACAGAAGGGTCTCGGGGAGAAGACGAGCCGGGCAGGGTGCGATGTAGCAACGATGAAACATACAACTTTCCTCTAGTTCCTAAATGCTTCCTCCTCCCCCACTATCATGATCCCAATCCTACCTTACAAATCTGGCTAGACCAGATAGGAACTGGAAACACAGGGAACCCAGGGCGGATGATCCCTTCAGGACCAGTGGTGTGAGTGGTGATACTGGAAGGATGGGTTGGAAAGGGGGAAACAATTGCAAGGACCTACATGTGACCTCCTCCCTGGGGAATTTACAACAGAAAAGTGGGTGAAGGGAGACATCGGACAGGGCAAGATATGACAAAATTTATATTATTTTATAAATTTATAATAATTTATAAGTTATCAAGGGTTCATGAGGGAGGGGAGGGGGGGGAGGGAGGGGAAATATTCAACACCCTTAACCAGGTCACAGTCCTGATCCATTGTAAAGGAAGTTTCCTTAGGTGTGTGGCCTGTATCTTTTTATCTTAATAGAGATAAAAAAGGAGAGAGGAGCAGGCAGAGAGGGAGAGGCCTCCTACCATCGTGAAAGACCAGGAGCGAAACATGTCCTGTGAACACGGTCCCTCTCATGAGCAACTCGGGGACCCAGGCTAACAAGCTCCTCTTCCCAGAGCTGTCAGATAGAGAAAGTCCTGAGTTCAGACTTCTAGCTGTGAGAGAAAAGTTTCTGTTAGTTAAAGGCATCCATTGAAGTGTGTTATTTCTGGCATGGTAGCACTAGGTAACTAAATGCCTCTGGGGTCCCTCTTTATTTCAGATAATCAAATCACTAGAGAAACAAATGACCCCTTCATAAACGGACTGGGGCTCTCTCCCTTGCCTGAAAAGCAGGTTGTTATTTCTGACACGTGCCTGAACATTTTGCTCAGCAAATCCAGAGACACATTCCGGACAGAAGTAGTCATTTGGTAAATTTAGGATTTCATAAACAACTTGAGCACGTCCTCAAAATTGTATATCTGGAGACACCAAAAACCTTGAAATTAAATAGCATCCGTAAGTCAGGGATTGTTAGCCACTTTATGAATCTTTATATATCAAATTTCCAGTGGTGTGGATTCCTCAGCTGGTCGATAAAAGGTTTCACAAGCATGCTGCTGACCCATGTATCTCACGGGGTTAGTGTGCTCCCTGTCAGTTGCATTGGGTCACTCTGCTAACCCAAGGTTCTTTATATTCCTCGCCTGTGTCATGAGCAATCATCATTTTGCGTGGATCGTCATTTGTGACGTCTGACATTTCGTCGTTGATTCCATGTACACATACGATTTATCAACTATGAAAGTTACTTTTTGAAATTTTTATCTACTTCTGAAAGCCGAGTGTCAAAGCAAACGGCAGGAACGGTCCCTTGTTGTTGACTCACCTTGATTTGGCCTGGGCCTTCCCTCTGATTCCTCGAGTTTTGTCTGTTCACTTCGTCTGTTGCCTTTACTTATCTAGACTCCAGATGTTTTCTTACGCTTTCCTTCGTTAGTGTAGCACGTCATTTTTAAGTGAGAAACTTTATATTGTTTTGCATAGACTACAGTCTCAGAGCAACTGGAGAAGTGTTATTCGAGAGATCAGATCTACATCTACGTGGGAGATATACTGATTGCCCTCAACCCTTTCCAGAATCTGGGTCTTTATTCCACAAAGGTATGTAGCATGGCTTATATTTTCTTACTTTGTGTAAAGAATTATACTATTCAATTCTTTGAACATATACTATGTATATTATATATAATATATTTTATAATCTATATAACACATATTTTAATATATTTATGTATATTATATTTATTACATATATTTTAATTTGAAGTTATAACAACTTGTTTAATTATTTTATTACATAATTTACACAAAGAAAAATTAGAAGATGAAATCAAGCTAGATGAGGTTGCATTTCTACTGAATTTCCCCCCCACCAAAAAATGTATGGCAAAATGTCAGCCTACATCAGCTTACATTCAGTTATTATTAGCTGGTTTATATTACAAACTGTATCACCAAGCACATGCCATATGTATAATTAATGCATCCCCTCAAATAGAGTTTCTCGTTACTGGTTCCGGGGTGAGACTTGCCCGGCGGGGATTGGTTGCATTTGGTAGGGTGCATCAGAAACTTCCCTCGGTGTCAGTCTCTTCAGTGTGACACTGTCCTTGGGAAGTCAATTAGAAAACTTCACACTGATGACCATTTTGATTATCTGTTCTGGGGAAAGTGTTTACACCTAATACAAATAATCTTTCTGGTTTCGCTCCTATTTGACGTGCGTGTGTGTGTGTGTGTGTGCGTGCGTGCGTGCGTGTGTGTGTGTGTGTGTGTGAATTGTTGGTCTTAAGTGATGTCCAGTCAGTGCGGACACATAGAGACCCGCAAACACAACAGACTGAATGTCGCTCGATCGGGGCCACCCTCTGAATTACGGCTACGTGTGAGTCCATTGTTGCAGCCCCCATGTTAATCCATCTCACTTAGGAGCTTCCTCTTTTTGGATGGGCCTCTGCTAGACCAAATATGAGATCCTTTTCAAAGTTTTATGTTTCCACGTAAAACGTCTAAGGTTAGCAAGACAAAGTCTCTCTATGGAGCGTTCCAGCTGTCCTTTTCCCAGCACAGACCTGTTCTCCTTCTGACAGTCTGATGCTTCCCCCTAATCTGAACACGGCGATTCATCTTCATCCTTTCACGTTCAGATGCTTTGACGTGGCTGAAACTGCCAGGCGTTAGTCGGGGGTGCCTTAGTTCTCAAAAGTGACAGCTTTGCTTTTTGACACTTTAAAGAAATCTTCCGTAGCAAACTTGTCCATTGCAACATCATTTGATTCCTTGACTGCTACTTCTATGGGCATTGATTGTGGACCCAAGTAAAATTAAATCCTTGACAACTTGAATATTTTCTCCACTTACTATCATGGACCTTTTTGATCCAACTGTGAGGGTTTTAGTTTTCTGTGCATTGAGTTGTAGTCTTTGAGCTTCATCAGTTAGTGCTTCAAATCCTCTTCGCTTTCAGCAAGCAAGGTTGTGTCAGCAAAAAAAAAACGAAATTGTTTTTTCAACATATTGTATTTAATTTTTTTTTTTTTACAAAATAACTATCACCTTCAAAGAACTCTTCATTACACTTAATACATTTGTCATATCTGTGAATCCACTGTTGAAACATTTTTCAAACATATCTGTTTGGGTGACTGACACCTCCCTCATTGTTTTTTAATTCACCTTTTCTACATCTTCAACCCACTGTCCTTTCATGTCCCTCTTTATTCATGGAAACAAAAAGAAGTCAGACAGAGTCGGTCAGGTGAGTAGCTGCATGGGGCAGGAGAGCCAATCTTGAGATGCCTGAGTGAGCAGGTGCATTGTTGTGGTGGCAAAACCAGTCCCCTATCTGCCACAAATCAGGACTTTTTGTTGTACACTATGACACAATCTTTTAGAGCCTCTAAATAGAAAGTTGGGTTAACTGGGTGATCTGGTGGAACGAACTCCAAATGCACTATGACTTGACATTTTTGCCACTTCAGGAAGTTGATGGACTTCCAGAATGAGGTTTGTCATCAATTGACATTTCAACTTTTTTGAAATGAGAAAACCACTCATACCCTAGAGTTTTTCCCATTGTGCTGTCCTTGTAAGCTGTGTTAAACACCACCACAGTTTCTGTAGCATTGTTCCCGAGCAGGAAACAAAATTTCACTGCCACATGCTATTCTCTTAAATTGACCATCACAAAAAACAAGGTTCGAGAGAAACTGCTTTTACAAAAAAATTCACTGTGACCAGAGAGAATCTTCCTAGGCGTCACCACTGTGTGCACTAACTCAAAGTGAGTTGCTGGATGCTCGCCTAGCAGGGGAAAATGTGACTATGCAAGCTCTGCCCAGCAGAGCACTTTTCTGGTTTTTTTTTTGGTGGAGGGTGGGGGGGGGGATACCCCCTCTTATAGCAGATTATGACTCTTCTAAACCTGATTCCATAATATATAGTTTGTTGTTAGATGCTGTCCAGTTGATTCAAGCCTATAGTGACCCTGTGTCTCACAAGGAAACACCACACAGCTCTGTGCTATCTCACAGCGGTTTCTGTGTTTCAGCCAGTTGTTCAGCCAGCACATGTGTTAGCACATCTCATTGAGGGTCCTTTTCTTTGTCACTGACCCTAGACTTTACCACGCATGATGGTCTTCTTGAGGGCGGTGCTTCTTGATAACATGTCCAAAGCGCATGCGATGAAGTCTCACCATCCTCACATCTAGAAAGCATTCTGCCTGTGATCCCTCTTCATCATCCAGTGTTTCAGTCCTCTTCCATTTCCAAAATCAGGATTGTTTGCTGTGCAGGTCACAGGTCATTCACGAGGCTTCTTCCATTCATAAAGCTGCATTCTTCTTCAAATAGTTCAGCTGCTGTGAGTGTCTGCTCAGCATACAGATTAAAGTGATTGTGGAGGAATATAACCTTGCTGTACAGCTTTCTTGATTTTAAACCATGCAGCAGTCCCTTGTTCTGTTGAATAACCACCTCCATTCTGTCTGTGCAATTCCAGGCCCACATGCTTCACTGGTGAAATCGGCCAAGCATTCTGCAAGTCCTGACACAAATTCTACTCAAATAATTTGAGAATATAGAAAAGAGTGGAATACTCCTGTATTCCTTTTATGAATCACCTAAATAACCTAGATACCAAAGTCATGCAAAACCATCCCTAAAAAACACAACTATAGACCAATTTTCTTCATGAATATAGATGCAAAAATTCTCGACAAAATGCTAGCCAATTAAATCATACAACAGCTAAATAAACAAAACAATGCATTGTGACCAAGTGGATATTTAGCTATACATGATCTACAAAGATGGGTCAATATTATAAAAACAATTAACATAGTCCAACACAAATGAAACATAGGAAAAGAACCACATGATCATATCAATCAGTGCAGAGAAGACATTTGATGCAATATGAAAACCAATTGTGTTTTTTTTGAAAATTGTTCCACAAAATATGAGTAGAAGGGAAATTCCTCAGCATAGTTAAGAGCATACATTTAAAACAAACAATGAAAACCAGTGGCCAACAGTAGCCTCAATGGAGAGAAAAAGAATCAAACAAGGATTCAATTCCAATTCAATATTCTGCTGTAAGTCTTAGCTAGAACTACAAAGGAAGAGGGAGAAATAAAAGACATCCAAATTGACAAGGAAGAGGTAAAATTAAGTGTTCAGGAATGCACATTCTATTCCATTTTAGCTGCATTTATTATGATCCACGTAGTCCAATGTGTTTGCATAGGTAAACATCTTTCCATTATTCCCTGGCTTCAACAAGGATCCATCGGACATCAGCAGTCGTATCCCTCACTCCACTTCCTCTTTAATCTGGCTTGAATTCCTGGCAGTTGCACATTGAAGTACAGCTGCAACCAGTTTTTAATGCTCTTCAGCAAAGTTTTAATGTGCTATTGGTGGTATTTTTCTCTAGTTTTTGCTTCTCTTGGATCACTTTTCTTTGGGATTGGGCAAAGATATGGATCTCTGCCAGAGGATTGGCCAGATAGCTATCTTCCAAATGTTTTGCATAAATGAGTGGTTCCCAAGTTACACCATTTGTTGTAACATCTCAGTTGGTGTTTCATCAATTCCTGGGCTTTTATTGTTCACCAATACCTTCAGAGCAGCTTGGAATTCTTATTTTGGTACTATCAGCTCTTGATCATTCAAGAGGGCTGAAGAAAGTTCATAGAAAAATGGAATTTAGAGATAAAGTTTTTCACAAACTTTAAATTCTCTCATATGTTACTTTCTGAACATTGACCATATGGTACAGCGACATTGTGTGTTCGCTCTCTCCATCTCTCTGTCGCTCTCTCTCAGGCTTCCTGCATTGTTCAATTGTTTGCTCATAGAATTCTCCAGTACTGCATTTCATGGTTGGAAGTTTTCCTCACTTACTTTAGTTGAAGACATGCTGAGTGTGTTCTCGTTTGGCTTTCTAATTCCAAGACTTTGTATCACATTATCATAATTTACCCTGCCTCTGAGTCAGTGTTGGAAATCTGTTCAGCTCTTGTCAGTCATCTTTCCCCCCATTCATTTTATCTGCTTGAGATAGTTAAAGTTTATTGTGCCAGCGTGGCCGGTAAACACGTGTGGGATTCACTGAGGGGTGGAAAGATAGATGGCTCGCCTTTCTAGTTCTCAGGTCTCTTGGTTTCTGATGGACGGACCAGGGTGCAGCTGCCTTAGCCAGTTCCCTGCTTCAGCAGGCAAGGCTCACTTCCTGCAAGACATCCTTGAGGAGAAGCCTCATGGACCTACCCCGATGTAGCCCTGGGTGCTGGAGCAGTAGCACATGTGGAGACCCTGCCAGCGCTGAGATGATTACACATTCACTGATTAAGTTTTCCTCCTGCAGTCGGCATCACTGCGTGTGTTTTGTGAGATGGAGGAGGACTTTGTGGATTGGTGTCGGACATATGGGTTAATGTTGGACTTGTGGGCTTGGGCAGCACTGGGTTGGGATGTTTTCTTGATGTGCACCTACCCTTTATATTAAACGCTCTCTTATGCATATGAGTTTCTGTGGATTTGTTTCTCTAATGTACCCAGACTCACACACTACTCTCTATGTTTATGAGCAAGTTTCAGAGCACCTTGTGACATCCATTTTGGTCTTTTCTTTCGACTTTGTCTTTTTAAAGATCTTTTCCTTTCTTCACATATTACATCCTGGATGCCATCCCAAAAATCATCTGGTCTTCAGGCGCTAGCATTCTATGGATCAAATGTTCTTGAAATGCTCTCTAAGTTCAAATAGGATATACTCAAGGTCGTACTTTAGCTCTTTAGTGCATCGTCACCATTTATGCGATTGAAAAATGGCATTTGCAATGAATGAGTTGCTGGTCTTTCAGAATTCTATCATACAATCTCTGATTTGATTTCTATCATGAATGTCGTAACTTCTAACTACCAATCCTTGTTTATAACTTTCTCCAACCATTAATTATCAATGTATGTTGTTTAACTGAAAACTTCAGTAAAGATCTTCAATTTCTTCATCTTTAGCCAAAAAAAACCCACTTAGTTTTTGATGTGTAAAGTTGAATAACAATCTTATTAATTGGTCTTCTTTGTAAGTGCGTGGGTATTATCTTATCACTGACACCATTGCACTTCAATATGATTCCTGAAGTGCTTTTTTAACAATTCATGGGATGCCCTTCCTCTTAAATTTCATATTCGCAGCATAGATCATAACCTGATTTTTATGATAAATGCCAGTCCACTTCAGTCCAGTAATTCCTAGGATGTTGATCTTCATGTATTCCATTTCATTTTTTATTATTTCTAATTTTCCTTGACTCATAGTTTCTACACTCCACATTCCAATTAGTAGTGAATGTTCACATCTGTTTCTTCTCTTTTGAATCATGCCCTGAAGAAAATGAAGATCGGGAAGTTTAACTCCATCCATGTCATTACGCTCACCTCTGCTTTGAGAGATTAGCTCTTCCCAGTCATACTCTGAACACATTTTGTACCGAAGGGCTCCTCTTTCTGCGCTTTATCAGATAATGCTCTCTGTCATTCAGAGGCTGTTCGCTTGTCAAATTCTTAGAAATACAGCACCAGACCTTTCTTCCCAGTCTAAATTCATTTGAAACTTATTCATCATGATATTCATATCTGAAATTCTAGACACATAGCTCCCAATATCACAGCAACACACAAGTCACCACAGTGAGACAAAGTGACAGATGAGAAGTGTGATATCTACATATGGCCGTAAAACTAGTTATTATGAGTTGTAAAACACCCGTTGACACATTAATTGACTTCATTAATATCAGACCATATGTTTATTAATCTGAATGCATGAATACAAATCCATAATTGAACAGGTAACGATTTAAATGTAGAATAGTACTCTGAGATTATATGAAGCCTGTTTTGCCTGTTTAATCAAACAGATTCTCTTATCCTCTGCCAACTTAAAATTTACAGAAACAATGATAAATTTATGAACCTCCTTTTAAGTTTGAGAGGTGCTAAGTCATCATGAAATTTATTTCAATTTATTCTATGACTTTGGAAATGTAAGTGAGAGAATATATGGTGAATGGCATGAAAGGAAAGAAGTTGATGACATGAGATGGTTTCAAAAGTTTGTAGGAAAAAATGGAATTAAAAGAGGATGGCATTCTTAAGTGACCCTTTTAAAGGCCCGTTGTATGCCATAAACTATTATATTTAAGGATTAATCAACAAGATGCTATCTAATTATTATTGTGTGTCTTTCAATTTAAGGAGATAATAGTATTTTGAAATCATATGATCAACTTTAGAATTGGTATAATACTCTTTTACTTTCCATCACCAGAGTGCTGTTGTAGTATGTCGTGTTATATAATATTTGTAGCATTTTTTTTACATTTTGGCGTATGATTTGTGCATTTTTGTTTCTATTGTATAGCATGCTTAAAATAGTATGTTGGTAGTGTGAGACTGTACTTTTATTTATGCTGTGTTTTAAAAATCGGAGCTATGTCTAAGAAAAATCCAGGATTTACATCATTAAAAAAAGAAAGAAAAGGGAAAAAATTAGCTCTTCAATGTTGTTGTTGTTGTTATTGTTGTTTTAACTCGTATTGTTGTTTTTAACTCTTAGCATTCCAAAATGTATATGGGAGCCAAGAGAGCCGCCCAGCCTCCTCACATTTTTGCAATGGCTGACTTAGGATACCAGTCTATGGTTACTTATAATTCAGATCAGGTAAGGAGAGTCCCAATCTCAGAAATTTCTCTCAGCGTCTCATGTGTCTACTGAATCTTACTCGGATAGTCTTTTGACAGTCACTTTTGTTGTTGCTGTGCAGTGCGTCGTTATTTCTGGGGAGAGTGGTGCTGGGAAGACTGAAAGTGCCCATCTTTTAGTTCAGCAGCTGACGGTGCTTGGGAAGGTACCATTTCTTTTCTCCTTTGTCCTTATAGAACTCACTAAATTCTCCACATTTAATAATATGTCGAAATAATGCAAACCACCCTTGTAATTTAAAATATAAGAATACTATGAAAATATTGTTTTAAGGATCTTCTAACTTTTCTCCATTTTATTATGGAAGGATTTCTGAATGTGGTTTTCCTCTGTTTTGAGGCTCAAAGCATTTACTGAAATCTTTCTTTGCTTTCTCTCCTTTTGTTGCTCTAACAAAGGAATCAGTTCTACTCCTGTAACGAGTTACAGTCTTGGAAACCCACAAAGGCAGCTCTATCCTGTCCTCTAAGGCTGCTCTGGGTTGTAATAGATCCAGTGGCAGTGAGCGTGGAATGGTACATATACAGTCAATGATCAATTTGAAATTGACACTAAATTCTGTTTCCAGTTGAATGTCAAAAGTACCATTTATGCTGCCACCAAAAAATAATGACCACTTAGTTCTAAATCTTACAGAATATGTACAATATTCTTATATTAACAGATACCAGAAGGTGATTAAGAGAAACCGAAGACCCAAATAAACAGAGATAAGCCACATTCATGAATTAAAAGCTTTTTCATCATTTAAGATGTCAACTCTTTAAAAATTGATACATAGAGCAATTGTAATTACCAAGAAAATTCTCAGCCGAAATCTTGTTGTGTCTGTTGTTGAACTCAATGTTGTTGCTAGGTGCCATCACGGGGGCTCCCACCCTTAGCGACCCCGTGTAAGACAGAACGCAACACTGCACTGCCCGCCCCACCTTCACAGTTGTGCCCATGCCTGAGACCAGTGTCAGTCCGTTTCCTCGAGGGCACTGCTCTTTCTCCCTCATGCTCCACTTTACCACACATGGTGTCCTGCTCGAAGGAACGGTGTCTCCTGACAGTATGCCCAAAGTACGTACGACAGAGTCATGCATCTTTGCCTCTAATGAGCACTCTTTGACCTTACTGCTTTTCAATTCAGATCCGTTTTCCCTTTTAGCAGTCTATGGTACTTTCGATATTCTTCTCCAGTATCACAATTCAAATGCATCTATTATTCTATAGTCCTCCTATTCAATGTCCAATTTTCACAGGCATTAATCCAGTTGCTATCTCTATAGATTTACTTATCCTGGATTTCATATACAGAAAACATACCAAAAAACAACAAAAATAAAACAGAAAAGTACTTCAACTGAAACGAAAGTAGAAAGTATTTGTGTTAGGCAGGGTTCTCTAGAGAAACAAAACCAGGACACTTATGATTATACCCTGTTTCCCCGAAAATAAGCCAGTGTCATATTAATTTTTGCTCCCAAGGATGCGCTAGGTCTTATTTTCAGGGGATGTTTTATTTTTCCATGAAGAAGAATACAGTATACATTTATTGTTTATTGGTTTATTAAAAGAGAGCCCTCACTTCCTGTCTGCTCTGGCTGCACTGTGGCGCCCGCTGCTACAGTACAGAGTCCAGAGTTATGGTAGCTTCGGGGGGACTTATTTTCAGGGAAGTCTTATTTTCGGGGGATGCCTTATATTTCAGTGAGAGGCAAAACTGTAAGTAGGTCTTATTTTCAGGGGATGTCTTACTTTCGGGGAAACGTGTGTGTGTGTGTGTGTGTGTGTGTGTGTGTGTGTGTGTGTGTAGAGAGAGAGATATAATGGATCAGTGTGGTGTTTACATAATCTGTTGTCAATTTGGGACTGAAGAGTGAAGGGATGGAGTTTACCTGTCAATCAGGTTGCAGCTTGATGACCTCATTTGAAGACACTAAGGAGATAAATAGCTCTTTGGAGGCGAGACACTCATTCCCTGTGAAACATTTCTGATGAGAAGTCACATGAAGCTGATGCAGCCAGAGCCCTGGGAGTTAGAGGAGCCAGGTGGAGACCCCTGCTAGCCCCAAGATGCTTACAACACCACTGGATCCACAAGACTTCCCACCCACTGGCATGTGATCTTCCTGTATTCAGTGTCATTGCATGTGTTTTGTGAGTCTGAAGAGGACTTTATAGATTGGTATCAGACATATGGGCTAATATCAGACTTATGGACTTGATCTGGACTGGGCTGGGATGTTTTCTCAATATTCAATTGCTCTTGTCTATAAAGCTCTTTCTTATACACATGAGTGTCTATGAATTTGTTTCTCTAGTCTACCCAGACTAACACAATCGGCTTATATAGCACGAAGGAATATAACAACGAATTAGTTCAGACAGCAGTACAGGGGCTCATTTCAACTCTCTTCCATGGAACACGTAATATACTGGAAAGTCTTTCAACCCACAGGGCTGCAGAGTCCAAGGTCAAGGAAGCAGGCAGTTGAGTCTTCCCTGGGACAATGCAGGCAGAGTCTGCCCACAGGCAACAAACAGTAGGGCCAGTCACCAACAGTCAGCAGCTCAGGAGCTTAGCAAAGCAGACCCACATGGGATATCACAGCCAAGCAATGCAAGATAACAGGATCCACCAGCCTCAAGCGATGTACCCACCAGCAGCATGGCAGAGCTGGTCTTGAAGGAACCTCAAGCTCTAGTGACAGAATTCACAAGTTGGCTTGTCCCACACATAGTGTAGCTCACAAGCTGAGGCAGAGAACTAGCTAAAGCAACTACACGCTGGTCCAATCACCTGAGAGCAAGAGAAAGAGGAGTAAGCCTTACCAAGCCATTTATCTCTTTGCCCTCCAATCAAACTGTGACCTGATTAACTCCACTTATTCCTATTGGCCAGGTTGGCACAATAAGCCTACGTATTACAGTATTAAAAACTGGAACAAAATTTAAATAGATCAAAAACCAGAGATCAAATGATAAGGTGTTAAAATTGTAACCTAACTGCCTCTGCAATAATCCACTTTCCAATGCACGCTGCATCTTAACAAGCCTGTTCCCATCCCTGGACTGTGGCCAGGGGGGTTCACTGGAAGCTTGCTTATCCGAGTGCATTTCCACCACTAAAGAAAAGGTACTTGACGCGGGTTCCACTGCTCCAGTCCACTCTTCCAAGTTGCACTCCTTTTTCACGGTCATGTCTTTCCCTCTACTTATGAATTCACAGAGTGTCCTTACTTGCTTCGTTTTGGGTTCAGTAGTTCCTGAGGACAGGCAGGAAATGATTCTAGGGAGCATTTGGATGGAAGTGTGGACAGGTAGGGGAGGGACACCAAAGCCAGAAGTGTGTCTCGGTCTAGATAGACCCCTTTTAAACTGTGTGCTTATAAACCAGGCATATTTGAGTGAAAAACAAGTGTTGAGTATCTCTTTGGCCCTCTTTGTGAAAGCAAGTGTGTAAATGCATATATGAAAAAGGGGGAAAAAATTAGGTTGTAATATTTGACAATATACTAGACATACACTCTCATGCTTTTTCATATAAAATACTTATCGAGGGAAGGTTTATTTTTTCCCTGTACAAAATGAATTTTTCATATATACTTTCTATATTACTTGATATTTTCTCTTTAGGCTAATAATAGAACACTTCAAGAGAAGATTTTACAAGTGAACAATTTAGTGGAAGCCTTTGGCAATGCTTGCACGATTATCAATGACAATTCCAGCAGATTTGGAAAATACTTAGAAATGAAGTTCACCTCTTCTGGAGCTGTAGTGGGAGCGCAGATTTCTGAGTACCTTCTAGAGAAATCTCGAGTTACCCACCAAGCTGTGTAAGTTTCTGTCAAATCTCTCCTTTGCCAAGGTAATGCTTCTATTTGAAGTATAAAATGTCTAATCATTCAACAAAAGTTGGTTGATGCCTACTGTGTTCAAGGCAGTAAATATTACAAATGAACCCCTGAGCACTATCTTACTCTCAAGTATGTTGTATCCAGTAGGAAAATGAAAACAGAAAAAGTTGTTACTAAGTTAATCCAACTCATGGTGATCCCATGTGCATCAGAGTAAGTGTGCTCAACTGATTTTTCAGTGGCTGATGCTTTAGAAGTAAATCACATGGGCTTTTTCTGAGGTACCGGTGAATGAGTTTGAACCTCCAGTTTCTCAGTTGTAACCAAGTATGGTAACTGGTTTGGACCAAAGGAGTTAAATAATTTTTTAAGTATCATAGCAGATAGGAAACCTAAGCTCATGATCAGGGTATTAACAAGATAAATTAGAGTTGAGTTCAAAAGTAAGGGAGATTGTTGTCTCGGGATATATAACACTCATATGAAATAACAGGGATATATATTCTTTGAATGCTTGAAGATACAATGAGGTTGCACAAAGTTGGTGGATGAATGAAAGATGACAATTTTTTCATGATTTTTGTAAAGCCCCTTGGTATAGACTCTCATATCAATTCCGTTCTTCCTATATTTATATGCAGAAAACCAAATAAGACATTCAGGAGTAGGCTTTATTGCAGTGCCCTTGTTATTGCTGACTGATTTAAGCCATTAGTAACATTTGACGATTGAGTGTTAGATAGGTTGACTGCATTCCTTTTGACATTTTGTAGCTTGTCCCCCGTCTTAATGATTGTCCCCCGTCTTAATGATTCCAAAACACCTTGGCTATTCTGATGAATATAAGGAAACTGTAGTCTCAATTTGATTTTGTTTTCCTTGTTGGTTATATTTGGGGGGTGGGGGTTGAGGGGGTGGGAAGACATGGCAACTTAGAATCTTTTGTTTTTCTCATACGGAAGGCACCAACATTTTCAATAACTTTTTATTCCATTTTTGACTTCAACTCTTTGAAGCCCGGTTGTATGCTAAGCACAGTGCAGTTGGATGCAATAAACTCGCGGGACAATGCGTTCTTGGTGGATGTTGCCCGTGGTTATTTAGTTTTATTCAAAGCCCGCTGCCGTTGGGTGAGTTCCACCTCATAGCCGCCGGAAGCCTATGGAATTCCAAGGCTGTAAAACTTGGTGGGACCAGAAAGCCTCATTTTCTCCTGCAAAACTGCTGGTGGTTTTGAACTGCTAACTTTGTAAATAGCAGTCCAACTCGCCACAGCCACTTCTCCACCAGGGCTCCTTTGATTACTTAGTATGAGTGCCTTCAAACCTGCTATCACACAGTTCATAAATAAACTATCGATGTAAGTTGCCTGGAATTTAGTTCCTGAGCTCAGCGCTTGGTATAGAAAACTATCCTTTGTTACTAAATCCTGAGTATATAAGAAATGATTATTAGACTAAGGTGGTTTGGAATCTTGGTTCCATGATACATGGAGCCATCTTCGGTTATATATTTAAACTTTACAGACACTTATAGGACCTTAGTTCTGTAACTTTCTAGGTGTGGGATTTGTAACAAGCATACTTAAGTTCTCTGTGCCTCAGTTGTCTGTCTTTAAAATGAAAAATAACAATTCCACGTAACCTTATAGTCATTAAAATATAAATAATACAAAGTGTATAGTAAGAACTCTGTAAGTTTAAGCCACACGCGGGTGATGTCCTGAGCCTGGGCCGAGTTTGGCACCCAGGTGTACCTCCCACCTGGCTCAGCAGTTTCAGATGCGCATGCTCGGTTTGGGGTCCTCATAGGTGTCATCGCCTGATGTCTTTCCAGCCTCCTCCATGGGGGCCTTTGCAGCCAAAGGAGGGGAACCTCCCTGTCCCTAAGCTAGCTACCTAACTGTTCCGTTTGTAACCATAGAAATAATCGTATTCATTTATCGAAAGGGTGCAATCAGGATTATATTTAAGGCATACTATGAACTAAGCAAGCTTTTTTCCCAGCTGATCTAAGATAACTATTCTAGTTTTACAGCATTGCTTATTGGAAGGTGGAAAAAGGCATTCCGCATCCTATATTCACAATCATGTTGAAATACAAATTAGTTATAACTTAAGGATAGATGTCTTATAAAGAAATTAGTTTTCCATTTCTTACATCTATTTTTTTTAATTTCTTTTACTTGATTGCAACTAGAGTTTAAAATTCTAAGAAACTTAAAGTTGTATGTTTTCAAATTAAATTTGAATTTTTAAATTTTGTAATCATTGCAAATAAACATACTAGCTGCAGAAGAGAAGAATTTTAGAGGGATATTTTCCATTGTAAATGTAAAGAGTCTATGTGACTGAAGGACCTACAGAGACAAGAGCAAGTTCAGAAGCGTTTAACTGAAAGGACTATTTGTAAGAGTAGACAATAAATACCAGTCATGGATAGTGAAACTCCTGCAGGCTATCAAGGGTGATAAACCATTATTACTTCTAGGCCTGGAGGACAAAGATAAGAAATAGCTCTACAGAGCCTGGGAGAGGGGTCACTGTCAAGAGCCCTCGCCTTAAAGGAATGCAACACTATTTGGAAGAGAGAAAATGATAAATACCCCAACCTCTCTCTTTTCTTTTCTTCCAGTCCCTTCCCTTTCTATTCTACCCTATTGGTGGAACCCAACTAGAAGTGAGAGGTAACATGGTCGCTCAGCTATCGCAGTCTGTAGGGCTAGCCATTGGGTCACAAAACAAAACATCCAAGGGGGTGGAGAAGCAGGGCAGATCTTTTTTTTTTAATGAACTTACCCCTTTTTTTAGAAGAGTAAGTTCTTTGCCACTCTTCCTGCTACTGTTCATATTCTCGCATTAGAATCTTTGAATGCATGTATTTCTATATTACCTTTCCAATAGTGGGTCTATATTATAACTTTGGCTAAATCAAATCTCTGTCTGCATGATCTAAAACACTCACTGCCATCAAGTCACTTCTGACTCTTAGTGACCCTATCGGACAGCATAGGGTGCCCATTTTCATCTCCAAGGCTGTAAGTCTTTACAGAAGGAGAAGGCTTCCTCCTACTCCCAGGGAAGTGTTAGTGGATTCAAACTTATGACCTTGTTAGCAGCCCAGCACATAACCCAGGACACCACCTAGCTCCTCTGTCGACATGCAGGTGATGGTTTTAAAGAAGCTATGTTAAAGAGCGGCTGCTTAAGCTCAAGAAGAAAATGATCATCTTGAAGTCATTGCTAGATAATTCTCATAAATACAAAATAGACTTATTTCCAAACTACAGTTTGGTGCTCTTAATGCAGTTTAGTTCACTAAGCATTTATTGCATGCCCAGCACTTTCATAGACTTCATAGGAACTATTAAAAGAAGTGACAGATACAGTGTTATCTATTGTGAAGTAAATAGCACTGCTTAAGCAGCTACAGTATGACAGGCACTGTGCTTAGCATTTGATACCATTATTGCTCTTCATTCTAATAGTTATACATTGAGAAGGATATTGTTGTTTATTCTGTACACATAGAAAAGGAAGAAGGGACTTCTGGTGAGCTTGCCTGGTCTCTCTTTCTGACCCTGGAGCTCCTTGTTTGTCCATGTGTATCTGTTTATCCAACCATCTGTTCAACTGAGAAAGGGTTCTTGTGTGTTACTATGTGGCGATGTCCTTGTTAGCAAGCAGCCTACAATCTACTGGAGAGCCTTTCAGACCTGCACACCGAGCTTTCTGACCCACTGAGGGCTTCCCGTGTCTCCGGCAATGAAGAAATTAGTTCATCTGCTAAGAGTGAACAGATAGATGGCAGAGGAGGAAAATTAAGGAGCATGGATATCTAGGAAATAGTCTAGGACGAGGGAGCTATTACCAAAACAATTTTTTTATTATTTAACTAGTAGCACTATTTAAGGAATACCCCATATGGCCTTAAGAATGCAAAGTTGGGTTTCGAAGCCTCGTGGCTTATTACTGAAAGATGTAGCAGATGGGTTAAGCCTCACCTTTGTGATGGCTTTGTTACAGGTGCGAGGGTGCTGGAATCCTTGGCTGCATAGATGATTCCCAGGCCGCAGGGTGGATAAACTCACAAGAGAGCCCAAGGGCCCTTTATGCAAAGAGAATGAGAGCGGCATTAGAAGTCTATGAAGAAGTATTAGAAGCTTCACAACTGGAATAGGGTCAGAATCCTTGAATCCCATATGCTAACTTGCTGTGGGTGTCAGTGGGTGGTGCAAAGGGTTAACACACTTTGCTGCTAACAAAAGCCAAGGTTGGAGGTGCTAGTCCACCCAGAGAAGAAAGCCATGACCATTTACTTCCAGAAACTCACCCGTTGAAACTTCTGAGGGACACAGCTCTACTCTGACAGACATGCAACGTCCATGGTTTGGAATCAACAGAAACTGATGTTGATCAACCTGCTGAACCCTTGCACTTATCACCAGTGGTTCTGATGTAAGAGGTCCTGGTCCTGTAAGCTTGTATGGCCCGTTATGGTGCTCCCTCTTCTTAAGGGAAGAAATTTGATTACAACTCCAGGAATACAAGAGGCAGGCAATCTTTGAAAGTACCTTTTGTTCTTTTTCCTTTAACTGGGATTGTTGACCCACCGAAGGTCAGTAGGTAGATGTACTAAAGCTCAAAGAACATTGAAAAGGCCATCAGTGATGTGAGAGCTTCCATCTTGATGTGGTATAAATGAAAGAGCACAGAATTCCTGAGGAGAGTTTGAGAGATTCCAACACCACTTGCAGAAGGGTACAGACCTAGTTGGAGCTTAAGCTGAGAAACAATAACTTCGCATTTTGGTATTTGGGTTTCATCAAATTTCTATGATTTTGTAGCAGTATTTTTACATAACTTCATAAACCTCTGATTGTCTTTTCACTTTCCATGTATAAATAGTTGTCAAGTTGTATAGCGTTGCCCTGTATCATAGCTGTTCCACATAACCTCTGTTTTCTTCTTCTATTTATCTCAAATCCTTATTACCTGTGACCCAGACACCTGGAAGATTTGAATTTCCTAAACATGTGAGCTCCCTTTCAGAGCCTAGTGGCACTTTGCCCTCCCAAACTCAGGGGAGTCTCTCGGTTCAGAATGAAAGCAATAGCACTTACACGTTTACCGTTCAAAAATGTGTCCTTTTCTTTAAAATCTAAAAGAGTTAAAGACAAAGATCTGTTCATCACTTTATCAAGTCCTGTGCCTTCAAATTAAACATTTTGTTTGTTACATTTCAGAATAAATAGAATGACTTAAATACGTGGTTGTGGCCCATGTATTAAACCTAAGCAGCAGCATTTTCAGCTTACACGAATTGTGTGATGGAGCACTTAGTAATCTTCTTGTACCAAAGCTAAAACGTACAAAATCAGCTACTGATACCCTCCACCTCCAGACATCTTTTACTGAATCACTGCGAAAGGGAACTAAGGACAACATTTCCGTACACGGTATCTAACTTTCTGGAGCTGTTTAACATAGATGAATCACCCAAAATTATTGCCCTGAGATAATCTCTAAACCTTAAACCCAAACTACTCCCTGAAGTCTTCTTTAAACCAAACAATAGTTTACATTATTTAAAAAAGGTTTGCCTTGGGCATTGTACTCTTTTTAAGGACCATCTAGCTATATGGGACTAAATTGACAGCAACAATTTACAACGTTAGGTAGGTATATGGAGGAGCAATTCAGGTAAAATTGTACAAGGTGAAAATTGTAACCTACACTTAAAAATTATTGAATGATTGTGTATTCTGCTGTGTACATTTTCAACAACAAATAAAATATGTCATTTTGAAACATCATAAAAGCTCTCCTGGCTTAGTAACATTATTCTAGCTAGAAAAAGCTGCCTTTGCCAAATAGATATTCCTATAGTGAAATGTTTTTCAATGGCTCCCATAGCTTACTGATTAAAGTTTGTGTGTTAGTCTGGGTAGACTAGAAAAACAAATCCATGGACACACATATGTGTATAAGAAAGAGATTTATGTACAAGAGCAATTGAACATTGAGAAAACATCCCAACCCAGTCCAGATCAAGTCCATAAGTTCGATATTAGCCCATATGTCTGATACCCATCCTTAAAGTCCTCTTCAGACTCATAAAACACATGCAATGAAGCCAAATGCAGGCTGATCACAAGCCAGTGGGTAGGAAGTCTTTGGGTCCAGTGGCGCTGTAAGCATCTCAGAGCTGGCAGGGGTCTCTCTGTCGCATCTCCGGCTTCTGAGGTCTGGTTGCGTCCATGTAGCGTGTCTTCTGCAATGTCTCCCAGGAAGTAGCAGAGAGAGAGAGACCAGTGTCTTCTGCCTCCAAGGAGGAAGTACCAGATTTCCCAGAATTCTCAGGAGAAGGCCATGCCCACACGGAAGTCCCATGGGCTATCTCCAGATTGACAGCCTGGATTCCACCCCTACAGTCTTACTCCTTACATTGACACCACAATGGGTGACGACCACAGGTTGTAAAGGGATGATGAAAGAGAGAGAGCAGGAAAAGCTAGCAGATGCCTGGAGTCCTCCGCTGGGGAGACTGGTAAGGGAGAGAAGAGCCCTGAGCAGAGCTGGAGGAATGACAAGGGCAAGGTTGTTCAGTAACAATCTAGTACCTTCTGCACCATGCCCTGTGATAGCATCAGGGTATTGGTGGTTCTGTGGTACGATTCTTTCCTTCCATATGAGAGACCTGGCTTAATTCTGGCCAAGGTATTTCATGTGCACCCCAGAGTATGGGTTTGCAATGATACTTTAGCTTCCAGAGTAAAATGGACTTGTAAGAAAGGCTGACAATCAGCCAATGAAACCGTACTGGTCACAGTGCTCCCACCTACCGATCATGTGTGGTGTTGGTAAAGGACTGGCCTGCACTTCCCTGAGTTGTTCACAGGCTTGCCGTTCGCTGGAGGCTAACAACAGCAAGATGGTAGCATCCAAAGGGCCGTGATGTCCAGGAGCCTTGTAGTAGCTGAAAGAGGAAGGAAGTAAAAAGAAATGAAGAGAACAAAGCCCCAGGTATAATGAGTTTTACGACTGGGGGAAGAACCCTCTCCTGCTTCAACCTCAGCCCATCTGTGTTTAGGAATAATGGGATGATATTCCCAGACGTACGGAGGGTCATGGTGGGCACGGGGCATGTCGTGAGGGATGAGAAGGGGAATCGCACCATCAGACGCAGCCTCGCGTGTCCCGAATAGCAACCAGGGTCTCCAAGAATGACAACCAAGTTGGGCTGAACGGGTCAGTGAAGACAGGCAGCACAGGGCAGGATGCTGCAGCTGAGAACTGACTGATCCCCAGAGAAGTTTTGCTTCATTCTGGAAACCCACGGCAGCAAAAATAGAGCATCAGGAGAGGGGAGAGAAAGAGGGCCTGCCGTTCCAGCTCTTCCAAAGCCAGAGACGCCTGCTGTTGGGACCCACACTCCTTGAATTGAATCATTCCAGAGTGCTGGGTCTGGCAAAGACGTCCTGCAGACAATCGTGGGGCAGGGGGTTGAGACTGTTAAGAATCTCTCCACACTCAAGTGAGAGAACTAGAGAAAGCCAATGTAAACCTTTGGGTTCAAAACGTGTACTTGGAAGTCACGAGGAAACTGATTTGAATCCAATTCGTCCACCAGCGCGGTGGCCCTGGCTGAGATTGGTAACCCTGTTGGGCTGTAGTTTCCGGGTATGTAGAACAGGGAATGTAGGCTGACCCCGAGGGCGTATGTTCGGTACCTGGAACTTAGACCCTCCTGTCATACAACATACACAACGTGTTGCTCTTCCTCTCTGCTCCCAGTAACATGTAAACTCCAAAATGGTCGGCATTTTTGGCCTCTTTTGCTCCTGCTCCTATGGGTAATATTGAAAACAATGGCTGGCGGTGGCTCACAGATATTCATTCGTTAAATGATTCATATGAAGCGCCTGAATTTAGTGATCATGGTTGTTGATAATTAGGACAGTAGTAACAACATAGAAAGTCTAAATCGACTATTCAGGGGAGCCCACATTGGTGCTCACGGCTTTTGTAATTGTTCTTTTAATAGTTATGTCATATATAACTTTAAAATAATAAATATTCTAACTAACCACCTTACTGAAAATGTCTTATCTTTTTCAGTGGAGAAAAAAATTTTCATGTTTTTTACTACGTCTATGCTGGCTTGGCTGAAAAGAAGAAACTAGCCCATTATAAGTTACCTGAAAATAAGCCTCCCAGGTAGCCCAACAAGATGTACTTTTATAAGTTATTCTTTCCACAGAATTTGAGATTTTTATCCTGCCTTTCATTTTTTTTAATTCAGGTACCTACAAAATGACCACCTCAGGACAGTGCAGGACATGATGAATAATCGTTTTTATAAATCCCAATATGAGTTAATAGAACAGTGTTTCAAAGTCATCGGCTTTACAATGGAGGTAAGCATGACATACTTGGATCTTCTTTATGACAGATGTGTTGTCATCACAAATCCAAAGACGTAGCATTTATTGAGTATTAATATGGGCTGGGCATTGTACTAAGTATTTTACATGGGTCATCTCATGTGTTTACTGGAATGACTCTATGTTATAGCAAGAATTATAATATTTGCTCTGTAGATGTGGAAACAGTGGCCTTTAAGTATAACCCCAAAACTACTTCAATCAAGTTAATTCCAACTTCTAGTGCATTTATTACAGTTTCAGAGACTTTAATTCTATCCAAGAGTGGATAGCCTCATGTTTCTCCCACATTAATAAGATTTGATTTTGCTCTTAATCTCTTTTTTTACATATACTTACATCTCTCATATATATACAGTTTCACATAAATATGATCATATTACATGTTGTTTTCTGGTGCCCTCTCTTTAAAACACAGCAGCATCATTAAGATATAATTCACGTGATGTATAATTCACCTGCTTAAAGTACACCAGTATATGGTCTCTAGTATCTTCACTAGTCTGTGGTTACAGGGAGGTCACTGGAGGTTTAGTCCATGTGTGGAGCCTGCAAATGGATTTGGGGCTCCCACTGTCATCATAGACTTCCCCAAACTGGGTATGCATAATTTCAGTTCTGATGCCATTCCCTCTCTCAGTTTTGGAATTTATCATTCACAATCCTTAGATCACACAGGCTGGTGTGCTTCTTCTGTGTGGACCCAGTTGATGCCTCACTGAGATGGCTGCTTGTTCCAAGACAAGACTTTAAGACCCCAGATGCTGTTTTTTCTGATAGCTGGGCATCATCTAATTGCTCTGCAATACGTTGCTATAGCACCCATCTTGTCAATGATCTGTTTCTGAAGACAAGTTTCAAGCAGGGCTATGTCATAATAACTAATTTTTCTCAGATCTGGGCTAGAATTAAGCGTGAACGCAAAATCCATTAAAAACCTGGAGATGCTTAAAGCATAGGCCAAACCTTGGTCGCAGGTGAATGTTGCAGTTGTAACGTTCCCTTTGGACTGGGACCTGTGTTGGATGCGAGTCAGTTCCAACTCATGGGGGTCTGATGTTTGTCAGAGTAGAATTGTGCTTCGCAGATTTTTTTCAGTGACTAGTCTTACAGTAGCAGACCACCAGGCCTTTCTTCTGAGGCACATCTTAGTGGACTCCAAGCTCCGTCATTTTTATTAACAACAAGAATGGCAACCAACTGCACCTCCTGGGGACTCCGGGAGAAGTTAGTTTGGATTTCAGGGCATCCTTGAAACTGGAAAGGAATGTGTGCGCTTCCTGTAACCAGGACGGGGCTCCTTTGTTCTTTTCCCCGTGTTTTGTCATCAGAAAGGCTGATCGCTTCTTACCAATGGACTCCCCCAGAGACGGTTACTCTAGAAGCAGGGAATCATTGATAATTGGTTTGTTTACTTTTAAGTCCTACTCATTAGAGGCAATGTTTCACTTATATGTGGCTCAGCTACTTTCTCGTGCTTGGTAGAGCACTGTTAGGTAACATTAAAATGTACCCAGCCTTGCAGTCTGCATCTGTTGGCAAATATAATTCATTTATTTGAAACTGTAAATCCCAAAGTTAGTCATACTCAATGTTTATTGAGCATCCAAACATACAGCTTCAGTTTTCCTCCCTTTCTCCCCTTATTTCAGGTCTTCTAATCATAAACAAAAATTGCCGATATAAGAGGCCATGTGTGAAAGACAAGGAAAGTGGTTGGTGATTTCCTAGCTACTACCTTGCATTGCCCTGGATAAGGGAAAATAGACCATCTCTTCTGGAGCTGCTAAACAGCTCAGTATTGTGCAATAATGTGTAGCCCGGTTCAAGGTGACAGCCCTGGGAGGTGGTGGGCTCCCATCTAAGCAAAGAGCCCTGAAAGCTGACAGTGCAGACAACTCCGGCTGGAGGCTCTAGGAGGAACTTCAGGGAGAGCTTTCTTTCTTTTCAATCCCATTTCCCCAGATGTTTTTCACACTACCGTGTGCTCTTTCTCAGTAGTCCCTGTGTGGGACAAATGGTGAATATGTTCAGTTGCTAATCAAAATACCGGGTGATCTGCTTCTGAAAAATCAGCCGTGTAAAAACCTATGACCCAAACCCCATCTGTAGGCAACTGGACACTCCCTTACAGAAGAGCCGCGGGGAGGGGACAGGCCAGTCAGGGTGCAGGGTAGCAACGATGAAACATACAACTCTCCTCTAGTTCTTAAATGCTTCCTCCTCACCACTACCAATTCTACCTTACAAATCTGGCTAGACCAGAGGATGTACACTGGTCCAGATAGGAACTGGAAACACAGGGAATCCAGGACAGATGAACCCTTCAGGACCAGAGGTGAGAATGGCGATACCGGGAAGGTGGAGGGAAGATGGAGTAGAAAGAGGGAATCAATTACAAGGATCTACATATAACACCCTCCCTGGGGGACAGACAACAGTGAAGGGGGTGAAGGGAGATGTTAGACAGTGTAAGATATGGCAAAATAATAATAATTTATAAATTGTCAAGGGTTCATGAGTGGGGGGCACATGGAGGTAGGGGGAAAATGAGGAGCTGCTATCAAGGGCTCAAGTAGAAAGCAAATGTTTTGAGAATGATGCAACAAATGTACAAATGTGCTTGACCCAGTGGATGGATGGATGGATGGATGGATGGATGGATTGTGATAAGAATTGTATGAGCCCCCAATAAAATGATTTTTTTTAATCCTATGAAGCACAATTCTACTCTGACACACATGGGGTTCTCATGAGTCAGAACAGAGTATTCTACAACGAGTTTCCTTTCTTTTTATAGCATTTCTTGGATCTCGCTTTTATCAATAACTGCTTCAAATCCATTTTGGATAGAGGTCGGATATAAATACTTCCAATATCAAGTTAAATAGCACTATTTGCACATCTGCAAAGCACAGCATGCTTTGTCACTGGTCACTGCAGCGTGAAATACATGTTTTTGCTTTCTCTCCTTGGTATTGAGTGTGTCCACAGTATGTGTCCTTTTCATTATTTCCAGGAATTGCAATTTTTTATACATCTCTGTAATGCAGCACAATTCAAAGGCATACCAGGCAAATTGAAGTCATATGTTCTCTAAAAACCTCGTAAATTGTGGGGAGGAGCCATGATGTCAGCGCAGTCAGAGACCAGGCTGACCCTTCACAGCAAAGACCTAAGAATCCAAGTGAAACAGATACACTTGACAGCTTGGGCACCAAATGAAATGATGAAGAAACAGATCAAACACCAACTAGAGATTTGGAGACACAGACAATACCCTTCCCCTGGGTGGGTTAGTGCCCTGCACCCCTCGTGCCATTGTCTCCCTCTCCTCCCCACCATTTTTCTCACCCCCTGCCCCTTCTTTGTGTTGGAATGATAAGTACATCCCTGAGTTTGGCCTGTCACCTGCCCGACTGCCTGTACCTCAACCTGTAGAGTGTAAGATAAGTAGCTTTTCTTCTATAACTACTGTGCTGATTAGACTTAGCTCAGTGGACTCATGTTGTACTTGCCCTTTTGTGATTGGCTAACTCTGCTTAGCGTAATTTCCTCCAACGTTTCCCATCAGATGATGTGCTTCATGCAATCATCAGTGCTTTTTAGTGATGCATAGCACCCCATTGTGTGTATGTGCCAGAGTTTTCTAATCCACTTGACTATCGATGGAAATTTAGATTGTTTCCAATTATCTTCAATTGTGAATTGTGCCACGATAAACATTGGAGTGCAGACGACTGGTCATGGTCTATTTCTTACTTCTTCATGGGTATGTGCCCAGTAGAGGGATTGATAGGTCATACGGTAATTCAATTTCCATTTGCTTTAAATATTGGCAGACGGTTTTCCACAGTGGCTATATGTATCTACACAACCACCAGAAGTGGAGGAGAGCTCCTATCTCGCCACATCCCCTCCTTATTGCTCTCTGATAATCTGATTTGGGCTGTCCTCAAGGGAGTTAAGTGGTATCTCATGGTTGTTTTAACTTGCATTGTTCTGATGGCTAATGATTGGGAGCTTTTTCTCATATGTTTATTGGCCATTCAGTTCTCCTCCCTAGTGAAACTTCTGTTCAGGTCTTTTGCCGATTTCTTCAGAGGGTTGACTATTTTCTTCTATTTGCAGGCTATTAGGGTGGTGTCGATTTTAGTAATAAGCCCTTTGTCTGTTGTGTCATTGTTAAAAATCCTCTCCTAGTCTGTGGGTTCCCTTGTTACTCTCTTGGTGAAGTCTTTCAACACACACAAGTGCTTTATCCTTAGTATATCCCACTTGACGATTTCAATTTCACCTGTGTGTGTACCCTTCCTTATTGTAGTTAGCCCAAGTATTCCCTGAACCAAGGTTTGTCTCGATTCCTTCATTGATGGTCCTTATTGTTTTGGGTTTACTTCCAGGTATGTGATCCACCTGGAGTTTGTTGTTGTGCATGAGTTGAGGTAAGGGTCTTATTTCATTTTTCTACATGTGGATATCCATTGTTTCCAGCACCGCTTGTTAAAGAGGGCATCCACCTCCTACTGGATGCTTTTAGGGCCCTTGTTGAAGATTCATTGTCTGTATGCTGATGGGTTTATTTCTGAGTTTTCTGTTCTTTTCCATTGGTTTGAGTATCTGTCATTAGTCCAGTACCATGCTGTTTTGACCAGTGTGGCCGTGTGGTCAGTGTTCAGGTCAGGTAGAGTAGCCCTCTGACCTTGTCCTTCTGCTTGAAGAGCCCCTGTGCATATGAACTTGATGGTCAGTTGTTCTAATTCTTTGAAGAAGGTTGTTGGTATTTGAATCAGAATAGCGTTAAACTTATACTACACTTGAGCTTAGCCAAAAGGCCGAGACACGATGCATTAAACTTATATAATGCCTTGAGTAAGATTGACATCGTTACTATATTGAGCCTTCCAATCCATGAGCATGGGATATTCTTCCATTTGTGGAGGTCATTTCCCGGAGTAGGTTCCCATAGTTTTCCTTGTATAAGTCTTTTATTTTTTTGGTTAGATATATCCCTAGATATTTCAATTTATTCTTGGCTACTGTGACTGAATGAGCATTTTGTTGCACCTCCTCTTCTGCTCTTTACTGCACCATAGTTGGAATCACACTAGAATTACAGCAGACTCCTTGACACAATCCTTCAATGTACTTCAAGATTATTCATACCTGTGTGTCCAAATATACTTTATGTCTCTTATTTAGGAATTTACATTTTAAATGTGATAACTAATAAAAACAAGCTGTAGTGCATATCATCTGTACTGCAGTCAAATATCCTTTGATCTTGATGGTGGAGATCTGGAGCTCTTTATTCTTAACTCTTCTTCAGCCATCCAGACAGCCTCACCTTTAAGAAGATCTCAAAGAAAATGTACGTATTGAAATGTCCGCACTGAATTCTTCTGTAAAGTTTAACCTGGATAGCTTGGGCTATAACAGAATGATTGATGTATTTCTACTTTCTTAAAAGTGTCACATTTTTATTTTCTGTCCTCATTCACATCCATAACACATATATTTTCAAACTTTTTATTGTGGGTTAGGTGGAGGTCCATAAGATAATTTTAAGTATCTTAAAGGCATTACACTCATCACTAAGAATAAAATAACTATTGCGACCACACTCTTGTCTACATGGATCTTATAGCCTAGCATCATAGTCTGAGAGATGACCTTCTTGTGCTGGAGACTAAGGATTGTTTCCCAGTCCGTCCTTAGCCGTAGTGATTACCTCAATGTCCTGGACATGAGAAGAGAATGATGCCAATATTCCCATGCTGTGTTGTAGGAACTTGGAAGTGTGTACAGTATACTTGCTGCGATCTTAAATGCTGGAAACATTGAATTTTCCTCTGTGACATCTGAACACCAGATTGACAAAAGCCACATTTCCCATCACGCAGCTTTGGAGAACTGTGAGTTTTACTGCCTTCCTTTCACAATTGAACTCTTTCAAAGGCTTTGTGTACTGTAAGTATCACATATGGATAATTCCAAGCAATTGTATTCCCCAAATTCTCATGTTTAATTTATGTAAAATGAAGTTTCAAAGTCCACTGCTTAAAGTGTAGCTCCATGCCTAAAAATTAACTGATTATGCTAGAAAGTGTTTCTAAGGATTGGCTTTTATGACTGCATTAGAAGCTATTTACATTTCAATGTAAAAGTATGTAAAATATCAGTCAATTTTAGGAAGGTTGTCTAAGTTAACATAGTTACTTTAACTTGCAGCTTTGGCCTTTATATCGTTTTATAAGTAATAAAGCTCTCTGGAGTCATGTTCACCCTGGTGGATTTTTGTCCTGGCGAGGCTGATTAATGTTGTAGTCATTTTATTCACCTAAGAGAGCTGCTTCATCGTGTTGTTGGTATTGTTGCTCTTACTTGCTGTCAAGTGGACTTCTACTCATGAGAAGGCTGTGTGTTACCGAGTGGAACTCCTGCCTAGAGTTTGATTTTGTTTTGTTGTGCTGAGGCTATTACACTAACAGCAACAAATCAAAAGGTCTTTTCTCCATTGTACATCATGGTACAAGTTTTGGCCTCCAACTAAGTTTTCTTTCATAGAAATCTTGGATGAGTTATTATAATTAATTTAAGATTTCTCAAGTTTATATTTCAATGACCTTATTTTAAAATTTAGAATATACTCTATGCTTTTAATTTGAAAAAATGATCATATTCCATCATAATTCCAAACATCTTAAGAGTTTCCTTCATAAACCTAGGAAATGATGGTAGAAGTTTTTATTTTCTGACTTATCTTGACTCAGGAATAGAATGAGACTTTTTAATGCAACTTAATAGGCCCAAATGCCAAGCCATCCTAGTTCAGACCTGTCCCCAACATCACTGTCATCTCCACCCTTGCCAAATCTCTAGAACTAGCAAGGTTATGCAGCAGAAGTATATGAGGTTGGCATGTACCTGGAAACCAAAAGGTAATCTGTCTGGCCTGTTTATTTCAAAGCAAGCCAGAATTGACACACTAGACATTAGGTTATCAGAATTAGAAGAATGATCAGACAACTTCGATGATAAGCTTTGAATTTCATTGGAAAAGTCATCAGCATGCCATGGGATGAATTTCAATGGTGATGCAGTAGATAAGAGCACACATAGGAACAAGAAAACACATGAAAAGATTGTTGTGATTATTAAACCTTTGTTTTCTGTATAGCAGGAGACAGTCAGATGAGTTCATGTTAATGGGAATATAGGTAAATCAATTATAACATGTTCTGGAATAACCACTAGTGGGAAAGAGAAATTTTATTTAAATGATCTATAAGTGAAGTTACAATGTTTGCCTCCAAAACTCGGTTGCATAGCAAGGTAATTTTATAGGTGCATTGCGTCTTAGCGTCTCAGAAACCCTCGGGGAAGTTCTATCATGGTCTCGGGTCACTGTGCATCAGAGCAGACTTGAGGGCTGTTGGTTGGCTTGCTAATTTCAATGAGGCACCATCCTGCCAATTCTTTCCCATCCTTGCTTCTCAAATCTGATCCTTCAAGACAGCCGCTTTCATGCAAGCACCCTCTCTCATGTAAGACAGTGCATCCACATCCTTTTTGTAAGTGTTCTTCTTCATTCTATAGAATGTCTCGTGGTTGTTGACAATATGCACAGCAGAACATACGCCAATGCAACAATAGCTGCGCGTACAATTCAACGACATTGATTACATTCTTCAAATTGCGTAACCATTCTTTCTCCTATGCCACATTGTCCCTCCTCCATGAGCATAAATTCACTGTCCCCCTAAGAGCCATTGTTGATCTCGGCCAGGTGAATCGAGGCATTTGTGTCCCTTGGGAAGTGGCCTCACTGCCATAATGTCTTCTAACAATGTAACTGTTTGTTTCCAGCTGCTTCTTTGCTTTGCATCCAGGCAGATGAGCTGCAAGAAGCTCTCACCTCCCACTGCGTGGTGACTAGAGGAGAGACCATTATACGTCCCAATACTGTAGAGAAAGCCACTGATGTCCGAGATGCGATGGCTAAAGCTTTATACGGGCGCCTCTTCAGCTGGATAGTCCATCGCATTAACAGCCTGTTGAAGCATGACACCTTGCCAAGGTAACTCTGTTTTTGAAGGAAACCCGCGTCCCCAAGTGTCTGGCGATAGAAATCTGTTTTCTAATGTATTGGCGTGCTTGCTAATCCCTCTGAAGATGCTCCTAATGGGGATCACATAATTTTCAACCGCATGTCTCAATAGATGTGTTTTATTACCTAATATTATCAGTTAACCTCCCATAAAACATTTTAAATTTGAATAAACGTGAGAGAATGCAAATTTTTTTAATGTGACATATTACTATCAATTTTTATCTTATTTTTGGTTGTTAGCACTATCATACAATATACACCATTTTATACTGCTGCATAGAATGCCAATTTAGCCGTTCTTCACCTTTCTTCTAGGGGGTTTGAAGGGGAAGGAGGACTTTTTGTTCATAACTCTCACGATAGCCCTGTAAGTGTAAGTGTTTGGGCCTCCAGAATTCGGTGAAGTGCGGCTCCGAATTACAGCAGATGCCTAGTCAATGGTCACAATAGTGTGTGAGCATTAACGCGACATGGCCAGAAAGCCTACAGCTCATCTTAAAAAAGCTGTTCCTGGCAACCTCCACGGACTGTAGGCTGTCTATAACCCAGGGATTGTGCACAGTCCTCAAACTTACATTTACATCTAAAGCTTTGTTCTGCCAGAAATGACGGAATCTTTAGAAGCTTTGCAAATAGAAGAAATAAGATAGATACCTGCCTTAATATGACGTCCTTTGTGCCTACTTATTAAGTATAAAGGATCAACTGAGGCACAAGTTTTATTATTTTTAATGCCAAAATGCCCACCCGAGTGTTCTCCTGTCAGAGCAAGCTTGCACGGTCCCTCTGCGTTCTCAACTCTCTGTCCCTTCAAATTGCTTCTGCCCTTCCCTGCTGAATTGTACTTCAGCATGGCGAGGTCTGCAAACCACAGTCCAGTTGGCATGCTATGATTTAATGTGGTCAGAATAGTCTGTGTCGTCTTCTGTGGTCACCTCGCAGATGAAAATGCAAACATTTTGACTCTAGAATTTTGCAACATCTGTGTATTCCATATCACCAGGGACTGGACCTCGCTTTGTTAATTATCATATGCATGTTTGGCACTAAATAGCTTCCCAGAAGTTTACGATTTCAAAACAAGCTCTCTTCCAAATGAGCTGCTGGGGGAAAAAAATTCACTACTTTTGCTAAATGTTAACTTTTCTTCCCAGGCAGTAATGAAAATAATTCAAATGGTAGCTTTTTTGTTTTGTTTTAGAAACACAGCTATTGGAATCGTTTTAGTTCGATCCCGAGATTGGGGAGACACTGTGTTCTATTCCGGACTTTGACATTCACATACTGTGGGGCAATAAGCAAGTCCCTGACTTCTCTGAGCCTTTTCTGCCTCTGATGTTAAGTAAGGGCATTGAACAACAATTCAGTTTCAGTTTGTATCTTTTAAGTATTTTATTGGTACATATCTTAGACCCTTTAGGTATCACTCAAAAATTGTGTCTTTCCTGCCAAAAAAACAGAAGCATGGGTCATCCAAGGGGATTTCAAGAAGTGTGTGCACTATTTCCATGAACTTTTCGAAGCTCCTTTGTATCAGCACATGTACGCTAAAATATTGTCCATAGTTGTGATTGCAAACCCCTCGCACTCACTCCAGTCTGTTCCAACTCATAGTGACCCGCTAGGACAGAGTCGGACTGTCCCTGTGGGTTTATGAAGCTACACATCTTTATAGAAGCAGAGCGCCTCATCTCTCTCCCTTGGGGCAACTGGTGGGTTTAAACTGCAGACCCTGGAGTGAGCAGCCCAACATGATGCCTTTAGGGCTCTTCAGTCAACTGGATCATTTCTTGGCTCCTTCCTGACTTTATAATGACTTCAATAATTCTCTCTATGGGATCCTATGAAGCAAAGAAATTATAAAAGAACAATAATTCTTGTACTGGTATAAATTTGAAGTTGATATCATGCCTCATCTAAGTACACAGAATTATACTTACTATGTAAAATTAAAAGCTTCCAGAAATATTCACCTATCTTTTCTTCTGTGGCATAGATCACATATTTAAAGTTGAGATATCCGGGTGGAGGCTACACCTGACCTTTTCTGGCTTTAAAAGGAGGAGGGAGGAGAGTCACCAGCCCAAACCACCAGACTGAGGTTGATTTTGATGAGAAGTCAGACATACCTCCACCCTCAGGCCTCCTTTACCCTAATCTGACAGTAACTGTCACTCCGTCACACTTCCCTCCTCTTCTGGGTTCAATAATCAATTAGAATAGCCACACAGAACCCAGACACAGTAAAATTCCCACAGTTATGGGCTTACTGGGAAACTAACAGGTTGTATATAAGTCGGGATCAGAGATAGGATACAGTTCTTTCGTCCACAGCACTTCTTCCAGCCACACTGGAAGGCATGCTCCCTCTCTCTCAGGTTCTTGACCTCTCGGCTCTTGTGGTCGTGAGTTTATCCACTCCTGCTTCTCAGATGGCTTACTTCAGACCCAATAGAATGACAAAACTGACCAGTCCTCTCACTAGAGTTCCACTCACACTATTTGCATGTTCCCACTCAATCATTTAGTGAGAATTACGGCAACTATGAGTAGAGAACCATATCAAATAAACTACACCACAAATATTCTGAACTCAGTCACCTCCAAATGGAGAGAGCACGCTTCATTTCACAGAACACAGTTGCTAGCTGTCCGTTCTGAGTCAGAATACTATATACTACCTAGCATAGTTAATTAAAAGGAAACATCTGTGTTTTCCTTTTGAAAGTCACACCAAAATAACTTTATTGGTCATAAATTGATTGGAGGGAGGGAAGTGGGAGAATGAGGTGTAAACTTTATGACTAAGTCTCAAACCTTTAGTGGACAGAGATAAATATGGAGAACCATAAAAAGTGTATTTTCAATATATTATCTAATTATTTTGGTTTTTTAAAAATAATTTGTTTTCCTTTGGCTTGTAGAAAATAAACACAGCAGAACCTACACCAGCCCAGTCGTTCAACATGTCCAATTCAGTAACAATAATTACATTCTTTAAGTCGCACAACCATTTCTTATCTTAGATTTCTCATTTATTTTCTCACTCTCAGTCAAAAGGGAGAAAATGCTGACCAGAATTTAAAATTCTCATGGACTTCTAGTTTCTCGAGCCATTGAGGCTGGATGAATCATGAAACTATTGTTAGAGAATCTTTAGACTTTAAACCAAAGAGAACTCCTGAAGTTTTCTGAAAATGAAACAATAATTTAGCCAGAAAAGCATGTCTACCCTGGGCATCCTTCAGTATCTTTTTAAGAATGATTAAGTGGGATTGAGACACCCTGCGGATGTAATTGGTTACTGGTCCGGTTGCTAGCCACCAGGCTTGTTCATTCAGGAAATTCTGGGGCACAAAGAGTTGTCTTCTCTGGTCATAGGGAATCAACAAGTATTTGTTCTTTAGACAGAAAGGGTTTGAAGCCATGTTCATATCAAGTGGGTGTCAGAGAAAGTGTTTGTATATAATCCAGGAGAAATAACCTAGGAGAAAGCTCAGGAAGATTTCAGAGAGTTGGGTCTGTGGCTGGATTAAGGGATTTCCATCTGCTAAAGGATATATAGTCTTTACTTGCAGTCTTTTTCATGAAAGAAAGACAAATATGTCCGAATTCATAATTTAGTTCTGCATGTATGACTCTCTAGTCTTCCCTCTCGAATTGGCACCCAATAGCCTGTGACTCTATGAATATTTATGAGCACTTTTGTTCACTGAGGGGACCCTGGTGGTGTAACGGGTTACGTATTGGGCCACGAAAGGTAAGGTAAACAGAGCACACCAGCCATCCCACAAGAGAAAGATGAGACTTTCTGCTCACATAAAGATTTATGGAACAGAAATGCTAGAGAGCACCTCTATTCTGCCCGGTGGGGTCACTATGAGTCAGAATCAATGCAGTCGCGGTGGCTTTGGGTATATGGATTAAATTGACAGCAGCCACTTGAAAGAATAACTCGTTTAATTTTTTACATTTTTGTTATAAAATAATCCACTTGAATTTACAGCTTTATGGATTATGAAAAAACACTGTCTTTCCATTCTAGTTTTCCACAAATATTTAAGGCCCTCTATACTATATTTAAATATTGATATTAATATCTTAATAGAATTGTTAATTATAATATTAATATAATTATTAATATTAACAGCCTAAATATCTATATTTAAATATATACATAAGCAAATAACCCAAAAGGAAAAAAAATTCCTGAAATAGTGACAATATTTATAACAGCTATATTAGACAGGATTCTACAAAACCAGGACTGAGGTAGTTAAAAGTTTATTGTGCCAACCTGGCCAATTAACACATGTAGGATTATTTGAAGGGTGGCGAGATAAATGGCTTGGTAAGTCTGGCCTTTCTAGTTCTCGGGTCTCTTGCTCTCTGATGGTCAGACCAGGGTGCAGCTGCCTTAGCCAGTTAGTTCCCTGCTTCAGCAGGCAAGGCTCACTTCCTGCAAGACATCCCTGAGAAGAAGCCACATGGACCTATGTGAAGCCCTGGGTGCTGGAGCAGCCATGTGGAGACCCCTGCCAGGGTTGAGATGCTTACTTGTAAGATGGAGGAGGACTTTGTGGATTGGTGTTGGACATATGGGCTAATGTTGGACTTGTGGGCTTGAGCAGCACTGGGTTGGGATGTTTTCTTGATGTGCACCTACCCTGTATGTAAAACTTTCTCTTATACATAGGAGTTTCTGTGAATTTGTTTCTCTAAAGTGCCCAGACTAACACAGGACACTTATAATTATATATATATTTATATAGATAGGTATATACAACATAAGAAATAAACAGTTAATTAGTCTATAGAGCAGTACAAATGGTTCCACACAACTCACTTCCATGAGACAGCTAATACACTGGCAGTCCTTCAAGTCTTGAGGGCCACCGGGGGCAAGTCAAGGAAGCAGACAGCTGAGTCCTCTTTAGAGCAATTCAGGCAATCCCGGCCCCAGGCAGCAAACAGCAAGGCAGGTCACCAACAGTCAGCCAGATGACAGGGTCCGACAGTCACCAGCTCAAGCGATGTATACTCCAGTAGCATGGTGAAGCAGGTCTCGAAGGAACGTCAAACTGTAGGGACACAGTCCACGGGTTAGGTGTCCCACAGGTAGTGCAGCTCGCAAGTTGAGGTAGAAAACCAGCTAAGGCAGTCGCACACTGGTCTAATCATTAAAGAGCAAGAGACAAGAAAGGTGAGGCTCACCTAGCCATTTATCTCTCCGCCCTTCAATTAATCCCTCATGTGTTCATTGGCCAGGTTGGCACAATAAACCCACCTATCACATAGCCTATATTATTTATTGTCCTAAAATGAAGGAATATATATATGTATATATGTATACTTTGAAATAATTTTTTGCTCTTTCAATATAGATTTTACTGAATAAATTTTTGCTAGGTCTGGCTAGACCATTTTTCCCAACTCATCCAGGGCTCTGACTTTTGGGCTTACAAATCCATTAGATAGTATATAACAGTGTTTTTTGTAGGACAAGGAAAATATTGTGTCATTTATATTAAAATTGATGCTGCCTTCCTCATCTTGCTGTTCTATAAAAGGAAATGTTTGTGTTTTCAATTAGGAAAATGTTCACTTTAGGCGTCTATTCTGATGGTAGTTTCTTTGCCAGGTCACACAAGGGTGCTCTGAAATATTCTGTTTTCCTTTTTCTATTCATCTGTTATATCTGTTAAGGAAACAAGTAAGATTTTAAAATTATGTCTCTTTAATTCTTTTAGTGATGATGGAGATGAACTGAGCATTGGCATTCTTGATATATTTGGCTTTGAAAATTTCAAGAAAAATTCCTTTGAGCAGCTGTGCATTAACATTGCAAATGAACAAATTCAGTATTATTTCAATCAGCATGTGTTCGCCTGGGAACAGGTAAGTGAAGTATAAAACTGCGTGCAGGGGTGTGCTATAAGAAATTTTGCGCGAATGAAGCCTGATCTGATTCAAAGACTTAGAGCCTTAAATATTTAATAAAGTCATAGTAAAAAACCAGAAATGAAACGCTAAAGAGAAACAAGCATGAATTTGGCATAACTTGGCACCAGGTGTTTAGTGTCCTCCACTGATAATGCTGGAGGCGTCTCCAAAACTTAGCAAGTCTGAATCTCTGCAAACAAAGGAGATTCCTCTGAGAAACCAAGTGTCCATGTTTTTTTGTAGTCTGAACAGTTGAGAGGCTGTTTGAAATTTAAATATCTGCTAGCACGCTTCGAACCTCTCAATTCCAGTAGTTATTCACCAGAACACAGTGACAATGGGCTTGATGCACAAAGCCCGAAAATGGGGATTTTATCAGGGTACAAAGTGCAATTCATGAATTAAAATTCAAAACTCCTCCCAAGAGAGAAACCGGCAACTTGCATGGGTTGCGTTTGACAAAAATCATAGCATTAAGATATTTCCAATACTTTTTCTAAGTGTAAGGAAAGTAATCATGTTTGATGTTATTCCAGATGTTATTTTTCCCCCAAAATACTCTGAAGTGGGGCTTTTTGCATGTTTCATGAATAGCATTGAAGTTCTTCATTAACTTTGAGATAAATTAGAGATGGGTAAACTTTTTTTTATTCAAAATATTTAGATTTATTGAGCATTTTGAAGTTACATTTGGAAAACAGTGGTAACAAGAGCATACATTTAGATCTTGACCTTTCTTAGATTGAAAAAAACAGGATAAATAGGCTTTATCTGTGTTTATCCATCTCTTCTCATGTACTCAAGGATATGCTACCAAATATTCATTCGCTCTACCTCTTCACCCCTTCTGGTCTTCTCTGCCTTACTTTATTGGTGCTATTCTTTAGTCAGCATTTGAGAAAATGTTTACTTCCTACAGCAAGCAGGAAAGCTTTACATTTTAAATAGGAACTGTTCCCTGGAGTCTCAACACTTAACCATACATAGTTTAACTGAACTATAAACAGTGTCTGCCTTGAACAGTTTGCCTTGTAAAGATCTCTTTGGGATCACATCGACAACAAGTTGAGAGCTGAGCTAGGAAACTTTGAGGGGAGTGAGTTCAGAGCCACAGGGAGGAACGGTTCACACGAGGAAGGCCAGAACGGCGACATAACTAGAAACTGTAATCAAGGTCCCTGAATCGCATGTGTAGAAATAGGTGTTCGCCTGTATTTTCTCAACAAAATCAAAATAACTGATGGCAACATACGTACAAATCTGCTTGATACAATTAATGTATGGAATGTTATAAGAGTTGGAAGAGACCCCAATAAATTTTTAAAAATAACTTCTTAAAGAAACAAACAGGAAAACAAAACTTTTCCCCAGCCCAGTCATCTCTGTAGCCATGACCCACTCTCTTCCCTCTTCAATATTCATCAAACCTTTTTTTGCCCTCCTTTGGGGACATTGAATCATTAGGATCTGGCTTTGAACTCCTCCACCCCACTCGAATGACTGACCCTTGCTAATTTAATTGGTAATCAGTAGAAGAAACTTTCCGATATCAACATTCGTCATTGGCATGTGTCTTTCTAGACAGTCCTTCCCTTGGCATTCCTGGCACCATCTGGCTTAGATGCTTCCAGTGTATTTGATGGCTCCTCGTCGACTTTTCCAGGCCCCATCTCAGACCATTTTAATCAGGATCTCTCGAGGTGGATTCCAGGCATCAATATTTGGTCAAAGTGTTCAGGATCATCCAATACACAGCCACGATTGAAAACTACAGCTCTAAATTCCAGTTAATACAACATATAAATACGGAACAACTATTAAGTGAAATCATTCATTCAAGCCATGGTCACTCCTTTGTGGTGAATATAATCACAGACTTAACCGAGCAGCCTTGGTCTAATAGAGCCGCTACTGTTACAGCCCTGGTGGTGCAGTGCTGACATGTTGGACTGAGATCCAAATGGTCGGCAATTGCAAACCACCAGCAGCTCCGTGGAGAAAGATGGGGCGTTCCACTCCCCTAAGTGGTCACAGTCTCAGAGACCCCCAGAGGGTCACTATATTCAGCTTTGACTTGATTTCAGGGCGTTCGAGAAAAAATATCAGTAGGAACATGGGTGCAGTGATCCAAAACCCTAGCTGCTACTCCGAAGGTCTGTAGTTCTAACCCACTAACCACTCGGCAGGAGAAAGCTGTGGCAGGCTGCTTTCATGAAGATTGACACCTTTGGAACCCTATGGGGGACGGTTCTACTTTGTCCTCTACGGTCACTATGAGTCTAAACAGACCCATGGCTGGTTTGAGCTTGCAGTAAGAGATAATATTTTCAGGTGCATGGGCAAGCAAATCGTTTGGCCAAATCTGAGCAAGAGACAAGCACTATCTTTATTGACAGACTTACACGATTGGAATGTAATAACGGTTTGCTGAAAGTACTTACTTATTACACCCTTGCAAGACTGGATTATTTTCTGCTTTGAGTATTTTTTAAATTATGTTCTTTCAATAATGAAATTCCTTGTGAATGAAATGGGAAATTTTTTGAACGAACATGGATTTTGAGACAATTAGGAGCATATGTCCTGAGAGGGTCCGTGGCAGTGGGGTGGCCTTAAGGACATGAGGCCTGCTTCTTCTGATTCTGCAGGCATGCAGCCTTCCACCAGATGATGGCGCACACTCAAAGTGGGAGAGCAGCTTCCCACTAAACCCCAGGGGAAGTAATGTAGGTAGGTGGGCACTGTACTTGTTTTTTTGTGCCACGGTTCACGAAAAGGTTTAAGTACCTTAGCTGAAGCCAAAGTGCCACTTTGCCGACACCCATGCTGCACGTGCTCCAAATCACTGCTTTCTCCGTCATCTCATGTGTATAAGCCTGGACTCTACATGAAGAATAAGGAACTACGTTGTCGACAAAGAATGTCAACTAGATGACGGTCTACAGAAGAACAAACAAATCTGCCTTGGCATAAGTATACTTGGGATGGTCCTCAGAAACTAAACTTTGGGCATGTTATCAGGTGGAACCAGCCCCAGAAGAGGGACATCATGCTTGGTAATATATAGGTCAGCAAAGAGAGGAAGACCCTCAACAAGATGGATGGACACCTTGGCTGCAACAGCCGTGCCTGCATCTCACGGTTGCGAGGATGGTGCAAGACCAGGCATGCTCTCGTGCTGCTGTGGCGAGACTTGCTGGAAGTCAGATCTGACTCGATCTAACAAGAGCTCGCAATAGCCTAGCTTTAGGTAGGATGTAGTGTACTGTGGGATAGTCCGGTGAAGTTGGTTATTGAGGTACTTGCTGAATAGAAGGGTCCCACTGCCTTCCAGTATAAAAATGCCCAATAGAAGATAGTCAAAGAATTCCCATGAGAGAATTTATGATGGTGACCTCATCTCTAGTTTGTGTGTGTGTGTGTGTGTGTGTGTGTGTGTGAGAGAGAGAGAGAGAGAGAGAGAGAGAGAGAGAGAGAGAGAGAGAGAGTTTTGTTTCTTGGAATAGTTGCCCCAAACTAAGCATTTGTATTGCTTTCAAAACATTTTCCTAAATCCATGTACCACTGTTATTCATTCGTTGGAAGCAATGCCACCTTCCTCTTCGTTGCCTACCTTTCTTGGGACATTAATTTTGTACCTAGGAATCTCTTAGCACAAAACCTGGACTGTCCAGAACTTGTGCCCTTCCTTTCCCTCATTACCTTGATATTTATGTCGCATATGAGTGCTGGCCTATAATAGCATACTTTTCTAGTGTGTGTGATATGTATTGCCTGAAAGTGTCTGGAGTTTCATATTTCAAATTATTTGTGGAATCATCATTTTTCTGGCACCAAATGAGCAAATTTACATACACTGGCTTAATAACACTTAAAGGGACCGTTTGTATCTGGAAGCAAGAGTCTGGAATTAGATGCAGCTCCTGCAGATGGAAGGCAGCCAGCTCTTTAGTCTGCATTTAATCATGTTAACCTTGAGACGCCATCAACCTCTTCTCAGTCCATTGTACTTGGAGAGTAAATCATTTTCTCTCAAATTTATCCATGTCGATAATGTACTATTCACATTTCCGCCTTGCCTACTCCATTTGTGTATCATTATTATGATACATGCCATGTGGTCCACAAGGCTTTCGGATAACAGCTCAAACCACCCCCAAGTGAATATTCACTAAGGGAGGCATCATTTTCCAATAGCCAAGGTTTGGGTTTTGTTCATTTATTTTCAGATTGTTTTTTCCGTATGAATAAGAGCTCAATATTAAAGCCCAGAATGTTAGGAATTTTAGTGTTCGCTTGAATCATGTACCCTTAGCAAACTGCCCGCGTTGCCACAGGCCTTATGAAGCTCATCTCCTGCCAGTACTGGTGAAGCTCACACCCTGCCGTCACGTCCATTCTGACTCATAGCGACCCTCTTTGACGGTACCATGAACAGAAGTGCTCGTCTTTCTCCTTCAGAGCATCTTGGGGTTCAGACAGCTGATCTTGGGGTTACTAGCCCAGTGTATAACCCACTAAGCTACTGGGGCTCCTCACTAGTCCTGGTGGAGGAGTTTCTGTTTTGTCTTGTTTTGACTTTGCACTGTGGTTTAATCATTATACTATGGACACACAAAAGAAAAGACCCTAGCTCCCTAGAAATTTGCATGCCAAACCAGTGGCTATGTGCACCAACTGTAGTAGCCACACTTTGAGACTAAGTTCAAGTTCTGGGTGGCACTAACAGCTATGAAGTTACTAACTGAGAGGTGATTAGTTTGGATGCATCCAGAGGCCCCTCAACAGATAGTCTCGGTGGTCTACCTTTGTGAAACCAGTTATTTGGAAACCCAGTGAAGCATAGTTTGACACACCTGGGGTCAACATGAATTGGAATTGACTCAACATGATTCAACAACAACTGATTCGATTTGGTGGGGTGAGGGAGAAAGGAATAAGTTGGCATCATTAAA